GAGACTTTTGGGCGATGATTAGTAAAGGTCCTAGGGGTGAACATTTCGTTGTAGAGGTTGATGTAGGTGGCCGCAAAGTGGGTGCCTTCGCAGACATAGGCTCTACACAACATTTCATCAGTCGTGCTTGTGTGGACAAACTGCGCTTAGGGGACCAAGTGCAGCGGCTTAGCAGATTTGTAGCCTCCACGCTAGCCAACAAGCAAAGTATGGTCGTCCAAGACTATGTCAAGGACGTAGTCTGCACCTTCTCCTATGGAGGAGGGGAACTGAGACATAAATCTTGTTCCTTGTCAGCGACGCAGTGCCTTTCGACATGCTGCTACCTCAATTCGATTGGGATAAAAAGGTAATGATCCACAAGTTGCCCAACGGTTCTAGAACCGTTAGACTGCAAAAGTTCAAAGCTACCAGTCTAGTGGAAAGCTACGGGTGCATGTGTGCATCTTCCTTCTATAACTTCTCTAAACAGAATCACGAGGAAGGCATTTACTTATTTGTCTCTGAGAAAGGGGAGGTCGTGAAATCACCCCCAAAGATAGAAGCAGTCGTCGCACAATATTCATTTTTTTTTAGGAGCCCAGTGGTGTGGTGGAAAGGGAGGTGGTCCATGCAATAGAGGTCGTCCCAGGTAGTAAGGTACCTAGAGGACGAATCTATAGGATGTCTCCTGCGGACTTGGATAAGCTCCGCCGCCACCTCAAAGAGCTCACAGAGAAGGGATGGATTCGGCCTAGTACCTCCCCTTATGGTAGTCCTAGTCGTTCCTAAGAAGGGAGGTACCTTAAGGATGTGCATTGATTATAGGGGCCTCAATGCCATCACCGTAAAGAACGCGGAGCCCGTACCCCGCATCGACGGCCTATTGGATAGAGTGCGGGGATGTTGGTACGTTACTAAGATAGATCTAAAGTCCGGATACCATCAAATTGCCATTAGACATGAGGAACAACACAAAACTGTTTTCCAAACCAGGTACGGTCTATACGAGTTTGTGGTGATGCCCTTTGGCCTATGCAATGCACCTGGAACATTCCAGCATGCAGTGAATATGATTTTTCATGAATACTTAGACAAGTTTATCGTCATGTACCTCGACGATATCCTTATCTTTAGTAAGACTATAGAGGAGCACGCTGAGGACGTGAAAATAGTGCTAGGTCTCCTAAGACCGCCAGTGCAAGGTAAACTTGGAGAAATGCAAGTTTGGTCGCACCAAGATCTCGTACTTGGGTCATGAAATTTTTGCGGATGGGTTGAGGCCGGATGACGCCAAAGTGGCTAGCATACGAGACTGACCCAAACCTCAGACTGTTACTGAGGTCCGATTGTTTTTGGGGATGACGGGCTACTATCGTCCGTTCGTTAAAAGTCATAGTACTATAGCTTCCCCACTAACAAATCTCACTTGACTTAACACCCCTTGGGAGTGGACCGAAGAGTGTGAAGCAAGCTTCAAGAAATTGAAGTATGCTTTGACACACTGCGAAGTCCTCAAACTTCCAGACCGTGAGCAACCCTTTGTTGTGACCACAGACGCCAGCCAATACGGCATAGGCGCGGTCCTTGCGCAAAAGGAGGGGAAAAAGTTGAGGCCAATTGAGTACATGAGCAAAAAGATGCCATCCCAAAAGCTAACAAAGTCCACATATGAGTGTGAGCTTTATGCCCTCTATAAAGCGCTGGTCCACTGGAGACACTATCTCCTAGGCAGATTCTTCTACTTGAGCTCTGACCACGAGACTTTGCGCTGGATCAAGACTCAGCCTGTACTCTCTGAAGCAAGGTGGATTCAAGTGATAGATATGTATGATTATCAACTTGATCCACTCAAGTGGCAGATGCGCTATCACGAAGGGCAGATTATCTGGGCGCGCTGGTGACTGAGTTTGGTATTTCAGACGATGTAACTCGATCCTTGGTGGAAGCCTATCAGCAAGATCCAGTAATGTCTCAGATCATTCGTAAGTATCAAGCGAAAGATAAGGTAACTTCCGACGAATTTACGATGGTAGATGGCTTGCTGTTTCTTGAGAAGGCAGGGAATAAAAGATTATGTGTCCCAAATAGAGAGTCTCTTTGTAGTTTGTTTTTAGGTGCGTGTGATGATGCAACTGGCCATTTCGGCTATAAGAAGACTTCAACTAACTTAGTGCAGAGATTCTGGTGGCCTTCTATGATGCAAGATTCCAAGAGATATGTTGAAACCTGCCAGGTTTGCCAACGAGACAAACCTAGGACTCAGGCTCCACTTGGGCTTCTGAAGCCTTTGCCGATTCCTGAAGGTCCTGGTCAGAGTGTGTCCATGGACTACATGGGTACTCTTGTGACCAGCAGGGCTGGCAAGAGACACATCTTCGTTATTGTGGACCGCTTTTCCAAGTATGCAAGACTTATCGCTATGCCGGAGACTGCTAAAACTGACTACGTCATCAAATTGTTTCTGCATAACTGGGTATGAGATTTTGGACCCCCTACGTCTATAGTAAGTGATAGGGATGTAAGATTTACCAGAGAACTGTGGCAGTCAACAGCTGAGCAGATGGGCACCAAGCTGCAAATGACGTCAGGAAACCACCCTGAGTCAAATGGCTAGGCTGAACAGATGAACCGAGTAGTACAGCACCTGCTTCGGCATTATATTAAGCCAAGTCAGGATGACTGGGACGAGAAGTTACCTCTCATCGCCAGCCTGTATAACAATGTTGTGCACAGTACTACTGGTATGACTCCCAACCAATTGCATCTTGGTTGGAAGCCCAGAACTGCACTCGACTTTTTGCTACCCGAAAAACAGCCCACTGCAGCACCTGGCAGCGTAGAGTTTGCTGTCAAGTATGAGCAGATGCTGCAGCAGGCCGTCGAGCATATTAGAAAATCTCAAGATGCTATGATCGCATCTGAGAATAAGCATAGACGGCCCTCTAACTTTTAGGTAGGTGATAGAGTCTGGGTCATATCATATGAACTGGGTCAAGAACTAGGCATATCTCACAAATTGTTGCCACAGTATGTCGGTCCTTGGGAGGTCCTAGACATAGTCGGAATCAGATAGACGGACCTTCCTATGTGATTCTTATCCCACCTCACTTACACATACACCCAGTTTTTCACACCTCAAAGCTGGCACCGTTCGCAGAAACTGCACAGTTCCGCTCCAGACAGTCAATGCTGCCCCCAACCATGGATGGTGAAGTCGACATCGACAGAATCGTGGAGCATCGAATGATGCCAGTGCCTAAACCGCCGGGCAGAGGCCGTCCTCCCAGGCCGAGGATGCAATCGTGTCAGATTCAGACACCATCTTGATCCCAGCGAAGATCGGTGGTTCACTAGAGAAGAACTCCAGCGAACAGCGCCTGAAGTGATTGCAGGCTATTAAAGAGAACTCGAGGGAAAGATGCCTGCAGATTAGAAGACTTCGCAGAGGACTGTCGAAGTAAAGGAGGAGGGAATGCGAGGATCTGGGTCCTCGGAGGCCTAAGGGGCCCTGATACAGATGTGCCCGCCCTAAGTGAAGGCAGGCCTAACAAATCTTGAGAGGCCCAGTGCTGTCAATTTCGTATTTGGGGTCCAGGCAGTTGTGACGCACCAGTTGGTTGAGGGAAACACAGGCCCGAGCAGCAAAGATCTTCCACAGCCTTCCAGGCCCTTTCGGAAATGCAGGCCCTGGGCCAGAATCACAACATCGTACACAGACATTGGGAGGCCTAACCAAACAAGGCCCAGCGGCTGCAACAGAGGCACAGCCTCCTGGGGCCTACCGGAAGCTTCTGGGCACAGGCCCAGCCCAGCCACGCCGCCGGGGCAGGCAGACTCTTTCCATATAGGAAAGAGCTTGCTGCCTGCATTCAGGCACTTGCCAGTCTGTGCGGCAGCACTGCTGGAGCAAAGGCTTGCGTGCTGCTGTGCGCTAAGGGCGAGGTGCGGCACGCGTGTGGTCGTGCAAGAAGCAAGGTGCTGCTGAGGGCAGCGCCATGGCCCGGCCTCTATAGCTGGCTGGGGCTTGGACTACAGTGAGGCGCAGGGGTGGTCTTCAGGTGTACAGAGGGAAGACGCGGTTGTAAGTAGAGGGAGAGAGAGAAGGATGATGATGATAATGATGTGAGGGCACATACCTGGTATTGGCGATGGTCTGCATTGGGCGACATCTTCAAGTACTTCGTGGGCTGCTGATGTGAACAGTTGCATTGTCAATTAGTAGGCAGACAGTAGCTGTCTAGGAAGTAGACTGGGCGCCGAGCGCGAGGCCTGGACACTTATGTTGGTGGTGACGAGAGCAAGCTCTCATTGACATTTGGTTTTCAGTGTTGCTATTCTCCATTGGTGTTATATTGGTGCAATCCTGCTTTCTGGACACTGTGATACTTTCTGGCTTTCAATGTGATTGTGCATTCTGGATATTGTCATCTCGCTATTGCTCAGTTTATTGCGCAAATATGATGCTGATCAATTATTGAGCAGTGAGGAGACACTGGTTTTATTTGGGGAGAATCAATCACATTGTTTAGAACTGAACCTGTTCCGCTTCGCCTATCTCCTTGTTGTCGTCTTGTATGTTCGTTTTGTAGTTTTAGCAATATTTGTGACTTTTCTTAAAGACCACAGGTTGTGTACACATCCACATCAACTAAGTGTCTCAATGACTCATCACATTAGTATACACCTCTTCGTGCAATGCAGTCTTTTGTTTGGTATTGTGTTCTTTTGAAACTCCTATTGTTGGGGATAACCTGCAACGACCTCTTCATGCAGTCCAATCTGGTCAAACATGGTGCTTGTTGCAACAGCTGCAAGTTGAGACAAAGTTACTCTTATTTGTGGAGGTGTTGTCTGTTGAGGGAGGAGCGGGGAAGGGGCAATGGGGTTCAGAGGGAGCGAATGTGGGGAAGGTGGTGAGAGGGTGAGAGGATGGGGAGGGGGGAGGGGGTAGGGGGGATGAGGGAGGGGGAGGGGGAGGGGTTAAGGGGGAAGGGGGGATTGTGATTGTGCAAATGTAGCAAATGGAGAGTAGTAGTGGTGGACGTACAAGTAGACCAGCTCGACCGAATACAAGCTATCGCCGGAAGAGAAAGGTTGAAGAGGATGAGGAATCTGAGCTGGAATATGCACTGGGAAATCCGGATGCACACCTTTATAAGTGAGATCTTCATCCCTTTCCAGTGCAATCCCGTCCCACCTAATCCCATGCAGTCCTATCTAATCCCATCTTGTTTTGTTGATGTGACACTGTTTCCAGTCCCATCCAATCAGATCCCATCTTATCCCCGTCTTATCCCATCTTATCTCATTCAAAGCCTATCCAACCCTATCCAATCCTATTGAATCCAATCCTATTGAATCCAATCCCCCTTTTCTAAATTATTATTATTATTATTTTTAACAAGGCCTTTCACTTTTTTTTTTTTTTCATTTTTTTTTTCAATTGAGGGTGATGGCTGCAAGACCGCAGCTAATTCACAGTCAGTTTTTTCATGTCATTCATCTAGTGGGAGGATTTGGCTCCTCGGCAGGCAAAAAGAGCCCCTAACACAAGTGTGCCCGCCCTAAGTGAAGGCGGGCCTAACAAATCATGAGAGGCCCAATGCTGTCAATTTCGTATTTGGGGTTCAGGCAGTTGTGTCGCGCCAGTTGGTTGCGGGAACCCAGGTCCCGAGCAGCAAAAACTTTCCACGGCCTTCTAGGCCTTCTCTGAAAGGCAGGCCCTGGGCCACATTCGCAGCAATATACACAGACAGCTGGGAGGCGCAATTGAACGACGCCCAGCAGCTGCTACAGAGGCCCAGCTACCGGGGGCCCTCCGGAAGCTTCTGGGAGCAGGCCCAGCCCAACCATCCTGTGCAAAGAGCTCGCTGCCTGGCGGGTCATTGGGGGAGGGGGAGGGGGAGGGGTTAAGGAGGAAGGGGGGATTGTGATTGTGCAAATGAAATGGAGAGTAGTAGTGGTGGATGTACAAGTAGACCAGCTCAACCCAATACAAGCTATCACCGGTAGAGAAAAATTGAAGAGGATGAGGAATCTGAGCTGGAATATGCACTGGGAAATCCTGATGCACACCTTCAGAAGTGAGATCTTCATCCCTCTCCAGTGCAATCCCGTCCCGCCTAATCCCATCCAGTCCTATCTAATCCCATCTTCTTTTGTTGATGGACACTGTTTCCAGTCCCATCCATTCAGATCCCATCTTATCCCCATCTTATCCCATCTTATCTCATTCAAAGCCTATCCAACCCTATCCAACCCTATCCAATCCTACCCAATCCTATTCAATCGAATCCCCCTTTTTTTAATTATTATTATTATTTTTTTTAATTCGGTGCCCCTCGAAGACCGATGCTGGAGCAACGCTCGCCGGAGCCGGAGCTGGAGCCAGGTGGCGCAACTCTGTGACCTAGCTTAGTGGGGGCGTGAGGCCTGGTAGAAGATCTGGGGGGCTGTTTGCGGGGGCAGTCTCAGTGGTCATTGGGGGTCGTAACTGGAGCAATGCTGGCCGGTGCAGGAGCAAGGTGGTGCAACTCTGTAACCTAACCTGATGGGAGCATGAGGCCTGGAAAAGCTTCGGTTCGTGCTGAAAAGCCATGCTGGTTGTGGTCGTAGGTGGATTGAATATGTTTCACCTATCTGATTCGTGGTTGGGAGGCTTTTTGACACACATATTCTAGTGACTTGGTAGAAAGTAGTGGTCCATGAATGTTTCGGAGCTTTCCCTTTTCTTCAATTGTTCTAAGCCGAAGCCGGGTAATGGCCCCGGTACTACCCGGTAGCTCATTTGTGTATTCTGATAAGGGACGCTGGGCCCGGTTCCCAGCCATGTTGCTCCCCACGAATAGATTGGAGCATCGTCTCAAAAAAAAAAAAAAAAAAAAGCGTTATTTACCTTGGGCAAAAA